TTTTCTTTTATCATTGAGAGAGGAGAGAGAGGAAAGAAATCACCTAATTTGTTGGAATTACACAAAAGGTACAACTCTGCTATTCTGCCCACAAGCTGTCAAAAAAGCAATCAAGATATAACAGAGAAAAGGCTCAAGCAAAAGGGATATCATAAAAACTCAGAATCTTATCAAAGTCCAAAGGAGAAAAAAAACTGTCAAAGAATTAAACTCAAAACCTCCTCCAAAACATTTGATAAAAACTCAGAAACAGGGCAAAAACCAAAGACAACCAAAGCTTGCAAACTGTCAACAAAAACATTCACAAAGATTCAAACTTGTAACTCATTTCCAACATTCAAAATTGCTGCCAACCATTTTCAAATCACAAAACAACCAAAAAATCACAAGCTCACAAGGCCTGCACTGTCAAAATCCCAAGCCAGTTTTAAAACCTGTAAACCAACTCTCAAACCTCCAAACCTGTAAACCAACAACAAACAGCCAAAACCTGCATAACCAAAACTGTACAACAACCAGCAAAAACTCCCAAACTCACAAAGCCTAACAAATTGTAACAACACCAAAACCCAGAAACAGGGCCAAACCAGTTGCAAAAAACCTGTAAACCAACACTCAAAACCTCCAAACCTGTAAACCAACAACAAACAGCCAAAACCTACATAACCAAACTGCAAAACATTTCAAAACTTGCAGAACTAAACTGCAAAACATTCAAACCAAAACACAACCAAAGCTTGCAAACTGTCAACAAAACATTCACAAAGCATAACCAAACTGTACAACAACTCAGAACATTTTGTCAAACTCACAAAAAATCCCAAAACTGCAGAACAGTTCAAAGGATCCCCTCAACTGTAAAACATCCCAACATTCCAACAAAATCAAACCCTCAACTGTAAAACATCCCAACATTCCAACAATATCAAACCTTCAACTGTAAAACAGTCCAACATCCTCATCAAAACCAAATTTGTCATAACCATTATCCAACAAAGCACGAAGACATCTAACAATCAGAAATATCACATCATCATTAGTCAAAGTTCAAGGGATAGAAAAATGTCACCAGAAAAGCTCACGCCATCATTTCCTCCCTCCCTGTTTCCGGCCTCCAAGGAGCACCATCAGCTTAGTCTCACGTCCTTTTCCATTTCGCAAAAGTCCCAAAGGTATGTATATTTTCAAACCGTTTCCTGCATCTCAAAGCATAGCAAAATAGATTAACAAGCAAAACATGAACAAGATTAACAAAAAGCAGAAATCGTTCAAACTTCAAAATCCACAGAATCGTACCTTTCAAAGAAGCGAAAAACGTTAGTGCTTAGGATGAGAGAGAGAGAGAGAGAGAGAGAGAGAGAGAGAGAGAGAGAGAGAGTGCTCCGGTGACGGGAATTGGGGAGAAAAAAATCAGGTTGAGATGGCAACAAAGTGAGAAAGATGAACAAGAGAGGGACGAAGGGACGATAGCGCCGCTGTGAGTGCAAAAGATCACAAACCCTAATTTTTCGTTTACCCTAACCAGAAACAATTATGCAAGAGTGGTGTATTGGGCCTGTCTTGGCAAAACCCCTAAGCCCATGCACGTTTTCTGGTTTCCCCACCCCCTTCTGGCCTTTTTCTTTTTGTTTCAGCAATAAATACAAATTCCTCTTTGGGCCTAACATCCCAATTCACCCAAGCCCATTGTTTTTTTTTAATTTGCTTCTTTCTTTTGTTTTTTGTTACTAACTAAAATATGAAACATATTTTTTTGAGTTAAATCTTGAAAATCAATTTTCACTTTTTTTTTATATAATTTATTTTTATTAATTTTCTTTCATTTGATAAAACAAAAAAAAACATTTAAATTAGTTTATTTTCTTTCTTTATTTACGTAATTAATAAAAATACAAAAGAATAATAATAATAAAAATTTTAATCTTTCTTTTTTTTAGAATAGATTTTATTTCTCTCTTTTCAAGTAAATACATACATCTCATACTTTGTTGATTTTATTTTCGTAAATTGTCACAGCTTTGTATTAAATCGCACAATAATTCGATTTGGTTGTATTATTTGATATTTGGACATTGTTATTTTTTATTTGATTCATCCCCATTTGTAACAATTGTACCCCCATTCCCGAACATTCTGTAATAGCTTAGAATTTTAATTCGCGCAATTTATTTCTTTCTATATATTGTATAGTAACTAGGCATATATGACAAGATTCAAAAATCAATCGCTAGATGACCTAATCCAAGAACAAATAACTTGAAATCAACACACTTTCTCACACGCGCACCTCTAGAGTAACCTCACTTGTTGCCTCGGAAATACAATCATGTCCCTCGAATATGAGACATTCTAGCAAGTGACCCTTCGATAAACAAAGATCGTAGTCCCTCGATGATCCTCGATGTTGCCTTCGATAAAACGATCTCGTCCCTTACAAAATTGCTAGAGCGTCTCACAAGTTGCTTTCAATGATTATAAAATTGACCCACGTCTGTCCCTTTACATCCAATGATGGGGCTTCTTACCAAATCAATGGTAAGATAGCACCATTAAAAGGAAGAAAAAAGAACAATTTAAGACCTTTCGAGTAGATAGATTCGCTCTTAGTTACTCGCTTGCTCATGACAAAAACTTTTACACTTACATCTCCATTTCAAAACACTTTCAAAAGAAAAAACGTTTTGTATACGTTCTTATAGAGACGAGAACCATTGCAAAACCTCTTTTCAAAACACTTTTCGAAACACGATTCACAAATACCTCTTTGAACTATTTTTTGAAACAAAACTTTGTATATGTTCTTATAGAGATGAGAACCATTACAAAGAAACTTACCAAAATACTTTCAAAATCCACACCACAAGCACACAATCAAACAAAAGCAAGTGATCTAAACGAGTAACTAAGAGCCCATGGAAAACCATGGATGAAAAGGGTGCTAACACCTTTCCTTTTCATGATCTACCCCGCGAACCCAAGAAAACATCTCAAAGGTCTTTCCTGTGCTTTTTGACCTTTCCTTTGGATAAAATAAAAAGTCGGTGGCGACTCTTGCTAACCGTACAAGTGCGAACGAAACGCAAAACCTCTAGTCAATTCTCCCACCGCATCACAAACGCCCTCCCCGACAAAGGACGAACTAGAACGTACCTCAGCTTAAAATATCGAACAGACTCCAAGTAAGCTTTAAACAGCTTCCCGTTCGCCTTCTTGAGGGAGACCCACGCGAACCGATCACCTTGAGCACCCCGTTGGAGGTGGAAGAAATAGAAGAATAGAGGAACAGTAGCCCCTATCTGCAGATGATCGCACACAATCTCGAAAGCCAGCAAGAAATCAATCGAATTAGGATGCAATTGCGATGGAGCAAGACAAAGATGCCAAAAAACGGTCACCTGAAGGTCACTAAAAGGAAGCCTGAAACTCATCTCCCAAAAGAGAATCTCGTACATAGGAATGTGATCTAGCTCGAAATCCGAACATTCTCGGTGATCCGGATTAGGAATATATACAACCCACTCCTCCTGGGCGCCCTCTACTTCAGTCCCCGTGTCCTCCGCGGTAAACACCTCATCTGGATGCTCACAAAAATGAGAAACCCACTTCAAAGGATCAAGCGCGACCCAAGCTAAGGGATCCGCCTGAACCACGGGCGCACCCTGAGCAACGGGCATATCATCCTCCACTTCATACAGCTCTGGCACGATCGGATCGGGCTCGGGCACCCCCAAAGTGCTCCCTTCTGTCGAGGAGCACTCGGAAAGGCTCAACGAGGAGTCACTAGGTTTGGCCATAAACTCATCCTTTGTACCACTGGCCATTATACCTGAAAAGCAAAGGACAAAAGTGAATTTGATGTCAAAATCAAATCCACGCTTTCACCGCTAATCAAGTGAAAGGGAGCAAAGGAACGATGACCTTGTCCCCGACCAGAGCCCTCACTCAAACAGCAAAACAAATTCTCTCTTGTCAGGCGCATCCGCATCGAGCAAGAACGAGGATCCTTTGAGCAGCTATCTCCTTAACACTGCTAGGTTAAAGCTGCTCCTAGGAACCCCTAGTCCCTCAAGAAGACCATAGTTTGAACCCAAGAACGGCCCCAATATCACTGGAGACTTCATCACAAGCTGCTATCACCTACGCTATGTTCGAAGCATCCCTATAAAATACACAGAGGAACTATCATCCTATGGCGAGGGGACCACCGTCCGTAACCAACACTCCATCTGGAATCCTCACACTAAGTTACTTTAAGCCCTAAACCGCGTGCATTTCTAGAAGAAGAAGCAGAAAACCTAGCCCATGACAAAAACAAATTCTACATAAACATGGAATAATAGAAAACTTACCAAATTATCGACGGAGCAAATGGCGGGGAACGACAGAACGGAAGAAATGCTTCAAAGAACAACTATGTCGAGCAGGAATAAGCAGCGTCGAGCAGAAGGAAAGCAAGCGAAAAAGTGCAAATGAAGCTTTTTCTCCATCTTATGTAGAACAACTTGTAGGCACGTGAGCGAACACACACCTAGGGAACCCTAAAAGGCATCATCATTACGCCCTAGTCCCTAGGCTAGCCATCATCACGTCTTTATGGAAACACGTGGCTCGATGCAAGTGTGACACACAAACTCTCTAGATTCCAACTAATTGTCCCTCTCCCCGGGAGATGAACACACCGAGCAATTTTCAGACTCCTCGCACAAAATTGCCCCTAAAACACGATAATTTATCGAAGCCGCTCAACTGTTCCTCTCCCTGCAAGGCGAGCGCGCCGAGCATCACTTGTACTCCTCGTGCGAAATCGACCAAGAAGCACTCCCGTTTCGCGAACACATCTAAGTCATCGTTCCTCTTCCCAGAAGCAATGACTTGGGAGACTCTTGTTCTGGACTGGCCCAATAGCTAGAATTGGTCCAATCCGCTTCTACCCTTGACACGACCCAATAATACTGACCCAACATCCTTGGCCGACCACGCCCCAAGAAGCACGACCAACGATGCCCGGTATGCACACCTGACAAAGTCAGCAGCTATCTCTCCGTCTGGCGACACGAGTCGAGCAAACACCAAGGAAACGTCCAGAACGCCTCTCTTCCCGTAATCCGCCTCCTTCTCGAAACAAACGACTAGTTACATGCATGTCTTCCCGTTTTGACTGAGTCTTGGAAGTTACCTATATTTGGGGACCCGTATATCTGGCACAAAAATTGGAACCAATGGCCAAGCGTCGGGGGCATTATATAAACTCTCACATATGTGAGGGTCAGGTATCCAATATTGAAACCTTAAACCCTAATATTTTGCTTGTATCTCTTTGAACACATTCTTACTTAATTTTCGGAGTGCCTTACAGGTACAATCCCATTTCTCCTCAAATTTCCAGCAAATTTGCAGGTTCTGATCAATGGGTAAGGTCATTTAATTACCATGTGTGATTTTTATTGATTGATGTTGCTGGGAGCTTCACCAAATGGTTTCAATAGTTCAAAAAGTTGCAGAATTAACCTTATTGATCTTGCGGGACCGGACAGGGATAAAGTTGATGGCATGGGTAGACACTCTCTAAGGGAAACCAAAAATGTAAAGAAATATTTATCTCAGCTTGGGTAAGGATTCCATTCATTGTTTTGCGTTTTAATATGCCCACTTTCTCTTTGTTGATTTCAATCAAGAATACAATCAGTTTTTGAGTCTGTGGCTAAGGATGCTGGTGTGCGTCAGATCCTGAAGGATATTAAACGTGTTCTTGAAGACGCACATGATACATCCATCCAAGACTCTGCTGCTGTCACTCCCCACGATGTTCCGCCTTCTGATATTCCATGTGATAAACAGGATAATTCTGAAGATGCTGGTTCAGTTGCAGAAAAAGAACTCATTTCATTCCAAGAACCTAATCAATATATACAAATAACTTGCAGGGTAGAGCATTTGTTGAATGCAATCGGCAATTTAGAGCTAACTGGTCCCTATGCAGAGGCTTTGAGCCAACTTAGTTATAAATTAGAAGATGTGGCACACCTGGTACACCATCTCCAATTATATATCTTTATTATTCTAGAAAGTGGTGTGCTTAATGAGTAACTGTTTAGCTCACAAGCCAATATTTCAATTCAAGTCCACTTTGGATAATCAAACGGATGTGTTTTTTTTACATGAATATTGTAATTGAAACCAGACTTAATTTGTTCTGATAGCATATATACCAATTCAACAGTTCAGAGACTCAACTGATGTACTTGGGATTCTTATCGAGTTGCTTATTATCATAATAATTCTTGTAGCAAAAAGTTTATCAAGTTACAAAACATTAGACCTCAATATCAGCAACAAAATAACAATATACAATAATCTACTACACAACATACTCCCTGAATATGTGACCAAACTACTGTCATTTCAAAATACTTTTCCCAATAGGCCTCAACTTTCACATAAATAAACCAATGTGTTTTCTTTGCACTAGAACAAATTTCACAAAGGACTCTCACCTGGAAGGTAAGAAGGAACTCCTCTCTCAAACTTCATGCTTTTTTTCCTGCTAAAGATTCTACTAATACTTGGGAACAGAGTTTTCTTTGAAAATGAACCCTTCCTTTCCAACTTCCTAACCTCCATACTTCTTGGAGTTGAATTTTGCTTTCGAAATCTGCTTCTCCGACGAGACGAGATTGGTGTTACAGCCAATATTCGAGCTGCAGTTTCTGCTGCCTTCTCATGATCTCTCTGGCGCCACCTTATAAGCTCACTCTCCACTGCATTCTTTGCAGCTTCAGCCATCTCGGTCTTTTTCAACACCTCCTGAGTCATTTTCTTTATATTCTCAATCTCCTTCTGAGTTTCCTCTAACTTTTGGAGAGTTTCGATTTCACTAGCCTTTGCAGCTTCGATGAGCGCTGTCGCAGAAGCCTCTTTGCTGCTCGCTAGTTTATCAAACTCCTCGACCATGCGGTTTAAGGAATCAAATTCCTCCTTTGAGATTGTTATTCTAGCACCAGATTCAGACACGGAGTTGCGAGCAGCATTAGCCTTCTCAGATAAGTCTTTAATCTGATCAAGAATAATTGCCTCTGCTGCTTTCGCCACTTCTGCTTCTTCTAATGCTACTTTGAGCTTGGTTTCTGCATCTTCAAGCGCGCGTTTGGTGAGTTCAGCTTCTACCTTCAATTCAACTGCATAAACCTTCATATCTTCTGCTTCACGCCGCGCCTTTTCAGTTTCATCAGACAATTGATTCAACATTGAGATCATTCTCTCAGATGAAACTCTAACTTCAGATTCTTCTGCCAAGTAGATTTCAAGCTCAAACTCACGTTTCTCGAGCTCATCACGCAGATTCCTAAGAACGGATTCAGTTTTGCATTCTTTCTCTTTCAATTCCAAGTGCTCTCTTTTAACATTCTCTAAATCCAACTTAAGAGATTCCACATAGCATCTAACAGAGTCTTCTTCTTCTGATAATTTCTGCAGTGATTCCTTAGCACCATTAAGCACCGAGGTGAGAGTTTTCATTGATTCAAAATCTGAAGTCTTTTTATTTTCAATCTCCTTTTGAAGAGCTGATATTTCACTAAATCTATTCGTAAGCTTCACTTCAAGATTTTTGGTGAGTTTCGAACTAAATTCCTTGTTTAAAGCAAGCAAGTTCTTTTCATATTCTTCAAGGCTGGATTTATAAGATTGGCTCAGAACATTTTTCTCAACTAATATCTCTTTTTTCTGTTGATCGGCTTCGACAGATGCAACCTTCATTTGTTGAATTGATTCTTGTACAGCTAAAATTTCATTGAAAAGCTCATGCGCCCGTTCTTCATTTGTCTCTATTGCATCTCTAGCTTCTTCAGCTTTCTTGAAAGCAGAAACTCTTGCTTCCACCGATTCCAAACACTCCTGACGAATTTTCCTCAGTTCTTGCTTTGCCTCATCAAGTTCTATAATAATAGATTTATACCTCTGAACCACAGTTTCCAACACTTCTTTCGAAGTACCATTGATAACGTTAAGATTCCCACTTTTTTCTTCTTTAATCTGCTTCGCTTGACTCTTTGCAGCTTCTGTTGCCTGAATTGCTATTCCTCGCGATTCAGTGAGAACTTCAATCTTTTGTCTCAGATCCATAACAGTTGTTTTGGCCTTTTCAAGCTCCTCTAAAACTTCAGCCTTGGTAGTTTCCGCGTTTTTTAGTTGCACCTTTATTTTGTTGAGCTCTTTCTGTGCTAAGTGAAGTTTTGTCTCCTTTGCCCAAACACCCTAACGAAATAATAAACACTTGTAAGTTGTAAGATGCAGTACTATTAAACACATTGCAAAGTAAAATTACATTACATATAATGCTGTTAAATAACGGTTATTTATATAGTAACATGATAGTGATAGCGCTGTACTATAGCTGAACTTGAACCAATCGCTATAGTAACATGATACCTATGAGCACAGACTCAGACACCTGACACAACACTCACAATGTCGAAACCCGTAACAATTTGAAAAAATAAATATACTGAAAGCAATCACAAGTATCGGTGACTGACACTGACACAGACACGCCTTTTATCAAAGGTGTCGGTGTCATTACAATCTACCACAATGTAGTGGAAGAAAAATGAACAGTTATTTTCCACAATTGACAACACGGGTCACAGATTCACAGCATACTTTGAAAACGAGAAACATGACAATGATAACCAAGTAACTTAGTATAGTGATGAACAAAACTTAACTATGTACAACAGTGTTGACCGAATTGTCGAAATTCAATGAACTACATCATTACACAAAATTCTCTTCAAATTACATTACACAAAATTCCATTCATTATTTCTAGAACAATTCTAAGAAAGAATTTTACATTAAGATCACTACATCATTATCATTATCATACTTATAAACATGCAAACTTGAGGTGTAAAATACAAAAACCAGAATTACCTCGACAACAGAATAAGATTTAGATTTTGACTTCTTAACAATAGGATTTTCGCCAGAGAATGCACCTTCATCAAATAGATAAACAGCATCTTTAACCGATTGAATCGGGGGATTAGTATCAACCTCTCCAACAACAGGTTTTGTTGAATTATGAGACTCAGTAACACTTTTCCTGATTCTAGCTACCATTGCACCTTCTTTAATATATAAAATAAATAGCCTTTGAACTTTCAAACAAACCTGCCAAATTACAAACGTCACAATCAAGAAACTTAACAAAAAATATATCATCTTCATCATCATCATCATCTTCTAACTCAAAATTATCCCACATTTCAGATATTCATTTCAAATAAACATAAAAACAAACACATGTAGACTATTTATACATTAACAACAACTTTGAGGTTGAAAAGCATTGGTAATTACCGTGATTCTTGAAACTTTAAAAAACTTCAAAAACCCAAGAGTCTAATCATAATAATGTACCAGAAAGATTCAAACTTTGAATGAATTTGCAATGAAAACAATGGAAAAATACCAAAAGAAATAAAATAAACAATGACCTTTAAATTTTAAGGCTTGGAAATTGGAATTAGTGAATTTGTGTTGAAAATTTTTAAGAGTTAAGAGAATTTATGGCATTAAGTAGAGGAATTAAACAGTGAAGAATTTTGATTTGCTTACACTGAAAATGAAAATCTGAAAGATTGGTTGGAAGAGAAATGTTGCATTAGCAAGCAAAGTGAGACAGTTTGAGAGTGTAAAGTAAAAAGGCTGTATTCATGCACAATCAACTATTTATTATAATTTAATTAGTATAATAATGTCAATTAATATTTTATTAAAATAATGTAACTATTTGAAAATATTTGAATTTTTTCTTTTTGGAAACTAAAATATTTTTCTTTTATTATAATTACTTAAAATATAATATTCTTAAAAAAAATGTTTAAGTTGACTGTGCGTGAAAAATAAACTTAAAAAAATAATATTACATATATGTACAAGTACAAAATGGACTATGGTGATTTGCAATTCACTTGGTAGATAACTAAAATATGACCTTAAAAAAGTAGTATGGCCAACAATTTGTTTTTTACTATTTTTTATACTAAATTTATTGCTATAAATATTTTATAAAAATAATGTTTGATACTTGTATTTGTTTTTAATTATAATTATAATACTCTATTTAAAAAAAATTAGACTAATTGATATTGTAAAAAAGTAGAATAATTAAGATATTCCTTCAAGTGCAAATATAAGAAAATTTAACATATAAATCAGAAAACAGATATTTTATTTCCAAAATAAAAGGTTAATTTTATATAATAAAAAGAGATAATAACTGTAGTTGTTTAGTTATTGACATGCATTTTTGGTAAAACCAGGTGTGTGAATGTCATGACTAATGTCATAACATTCTGATTTATTAGGTACTGGTTTATTAGGTACCTTTGCAGAAAAATAGTGGCATACAGGTACTGATGTTTATGAGTGTGTATCTGAGCATTTTGCAAAATGATCACATTTACCAAAATCAGTAAACAGGAATTCAGATGTCATAACAAATGTTAAGACATCCTGTTCTGAACTAACAGTTATGCAGTTTGGTTAATTCAGAGATTTTTCAGGAAAATGACTCAGTCTTTCCAGAACAGAATCTCTCGTGGACTTGGGGTTAACCTAGCTCAACCCTAACCTGGTTGATAAAGTCCTGTGACCAAGTCTTAAGGTCAAACGAAATTAACCCTAGCTTTTTGTGGAAACCCTAACTGAAGAAGCAGCTGCTATATATTCAACAGGGCTGCTGTTTAGAATTCATCCCTTTTTGACAGAATATCATTTAGAAGCTGTATAGTTTTAACTATTGTAATCCAAGCAAGTATCATTGTGATAAGTGACTTGGAATAGGTTTTAATTGTAAGGGTTTTGTATCACTCAAAGCTTTGAAGCAAGAGTGTTTTGTGTCTCTTGACTAAAGCTTTGAAGCAAAGTCAAGTTAGGTTTATGTATCACTCAAAGCTGTGAAGCAAGAGTGTTTGTGTTGCTTGATTAAAAAGCTGTGAAGCATAATCAAGTGTATGTTTTGAAGAGTGTCTTCATTAAATCATTAGTCAATTGTTTTAAGTATCACTGCTGTGATTGAGGGGGAGTGAGTAGGAACTCAGGTTTAAGTTATACTTAGATTGAAGTTGCATTGGGTAGGTCTTAAGTGAAGGAGATAAACTGGTTGGTTTATTCCTGAATTAATATCTCTTATAGTGGATTTCCTCCCTGGCTTGGTAGCCCCCAGAGTAGGTGTTGTTGCACACTGAACTGGGTAAACAATTGACTGTGTTCTTTACTGTTTTTGTATTTACTGTCTTGTAGAAGGTCAGATACGGTGTCATAATATTGATCGTGACATTGAGTATCTGCAGCCAGAATTTCAATTGGCATCAGAGCAGGCACCCTGCCTGTATTACTGGGTGAGATCTAGGGATATCACTTTCTGGCACTATGGACAAAAAAGGAGTTTTTGGAAATAGACCACCCATTCTGGATGGAACAAATTATGACTACTGGAAACCTCGTATGATTGCCTTCTTAAAATCTCTGGACAAAAAGGCTTGGAGAGCAGCTGACAAAGGATGGAACCATCCCACCATAACTGAGAAAGATGGGACAATCAGTCTGAAGCCTGAGGAAGAATGGAGTAAAGAAGAAGATGAGTTAGCCCTGGGTAATTCCAAAGCTTTAAATGCCTTGTTCAATGGAATTGATAGAAACATATTCAGACCAGTACATCAATATGAACTGGCCAAGGAAGTTTGGGACACTCTCAAAACTACCCATGAGGGCACTTCCAAAGTAAAAATGTCAAGGCTTCAGATGCTGACTATCAAGTTTGAGAATCTAAAAATGATGGAAGATGAAACCATTCATGAGTTTCACATGAACATCTTGGAGATTGCCAACACCTCAGGAGCATTGGGAGAAAAGATGTCAGAAGAAAAACTGGTGAGAAAGATTCTCAGATCCTTGCCTAAAAGATTTGCAATGAAGGTAACTGCTATAGAGGAAGCCCAGGATATCAGCAAGTTGAAAGTGGATGAACTCATTGGATCTCTTCAGACTTTTGAGATGGGGATCACTGAAAATGTTGACAAGAAGAACAAGAGCATAGCACTTGTATCCAACACTGAAGATGAAGACAAGGAGGATGAAGAAGAAAATATTTCAGAAGCTATAGCCATGCTTGGAAGACAATTCAACAAACTCATCAAAAGAATAGATCCAAAGTCAAGGTCTAATGTTCATAACATTCCCTCTGACATTGACAGTTCCAGTAGAAGACCAAGGTCAGAAGAGAAGGGAAATCAAGGCAGAGGAATTCAATGCCATGGTTGTGAAGGATATGGGCATATTCGAGCTGAATGTCCTACCTTTCTTAAGAAACAAAAGAAAGGAATGACTGTTACTTGGTCTGACTGTGATTCAGAAAGCAATTCTGAAGAAGAATCTGCCAAACTAGTTACTGCTCTAACTGGTGTTTGTACCTCTGAAAGTGACACTAGTGATGAAGAAGTGACATTTGAAGAACTGGCTGATACTTACAAGAAATTATGTATCAGAAGTGCTGAAGTCTGTGTGTAGAATGAGAAACAATCAAAACTCATCATAAAGCTGGAGGCTGAAAAAAGGGCAGACCTTGAAACTATAAGTCATCTAGAAGGGGAAGTTCAATTGCTGAACTCACAACTAAACCAAATGACCAAATCTGTCAAGATGCTGACAAATGGAACAGACAAATTGGAAGAGATCCTTCAGGTTGGACAAAATGTGGGAAACAAATCTGGACTAGGATTTGTGGAAGCAAAGAAATCCAGTACAGACAAGAAGATCAGGCCTGATAAGTAAATGTCAAAGCAGATGTCTCAACATAACTCTCAACATCAGGAACAGAGACGTATGAAGAAAAGGTACCAAAGATGGAGATGTCATCATTGTGGGAGGTATGGCTGTTAGAACAAAGTTTGAATCTACTACCCTATGTTTAAGTTTTGATGATAACAAAATGAAAGGATATATTAATTATGTGATTCATGTATGAACTATTTGCTACCTAAAATATTACTTTCTGATTTGCAGAAACTCTGATAGGTATCAGCAAGAGCACACTTAATCAGCATCAGAATATTGGTTCTTAACATCAGCATCAGAAGATGCTATATCAGAATACCAGAATCAGAAGAATAACTCACGCGTATGCTTAAGCTTGATGAACATAACTGCGCTCAACACTCTGATTAAAGACAACAACAGTTCATCAACACTTAAGCAGAGTCAGAATGAGCCAAGCCAGAACATGCTTTAAGTAGCAACGGTACTGTGCATTGAAAGCGTATTATTACCAACGGCATCATTCCAAACAAGATCTGCTCAATAAGGAAAGTTTGTTATTAACATTGAATCAAGATTATTGCTCCAACGTTCAATAATCTCAGTGCTATATAAACAAGACTATGAAGATTGAATTGGCTAATGCTCTCCAACATATTACACGCCTAAAAGCTAATCATAATCTTCCTTCTCTCAGTTTGCTAAACGCTACATATCTCCTTACTCAATCATTGTTTAGCAATCTAGTTTCATAAGCTTAAGTTGTGTAACATCACAGTTGTGATACAATTTTGTAGAAAACATTCACACACCTAGTTTTATCCTCTTTGTAAGAAAGTGTTTCCTTGACAAACCGGGTTGTGGTTTGCATCAAGAAGGCTTTAGCAGTTGTTAAAGCAGTTTGTAATATTCAGTTGAATATAGTGGATTAAGACCTCGTTGGAGAGAGGCGAAATCACCTTGACGGGTGGACTGGAGTAGTTTGAGATCAAACGAACCAGGATAAAAATATCTTGTTCATTGCATTAAGTTTCAGTTTTACAATTCAACCCCTCCCTTCTTGTGTTTTTCACTTATTCAATTGGCATCAGAGCGCCTGGTTCTGAGCTAAAACACTTAACCGTGTCAGTACAAGATTCAGCGTCAGAAAAACACAATGGCAGGAAACTATTCTTACACCAGCAATGACAACCATGAGGACAGAGACAGATTCAGCGGCAAACCTCCAGTCTTTGATGGAGAAAACTTTGATTACTGGAAAGACAGAATTGAAAGCTTCTTTCTGGAACATGATGCTGATC